TAACCTTATATACGACACAAACATCCAAGAAACATTCTAAAAACATTTAAAAGATATTCCTATGTTCTAAAAGCTTTTCCAGGACATTCATCGAATAAAGTATGTACGTTACTTTATTTGATGTTTATTCATAGCAACTAATCCACAATATTTCAAGATATTTTATATTTAATTAAAACAAAATTGTTTAAAAAATTTTTTTAATATTTTACGTAAATATTATTATTGTATTGCAGAAGAGACTTACTTCTCTGATGATCTTGCAACTTCTGACGCTACCGATATGCGAAAACAGAGCATATAATAAATCTTCCGATACAACATGATCCAAGTTGCCCACATATCTAAATCAACATAAAAATAAGTAATTATTATAAATTCATTCGCAGTGGCGATCGTGGCGTAGAGCATACTGTTTTCTATACCGAAGATTCAGAGTTTCCAAATTCACCTAGTACACAAAAATTTAATTTGCTCGCCACCTCTCGAAAGACAAATCACCAAGAGTATATTTGTCACCGCCATTTGGAGCCGGCATTAAAAACAATAGGCCCCATATATAGTAGATATATGCATCAATCTCTCAATTCTATAAAAGTCATTGTTTCACAACCTCATCTGCAGAGATGACTCGAGTCCAATTTGGACAATACGATTTAATGAATAAATGATGAAATTCATTTGTAAAAATAAAAATTTTGCGATACGTCTTCATTATTAACAATATGCTATATTATATAATTATTTTTATTTTATATTATATAAAAAAATATAATTTCTTTAATCAGTTTGGAAGAATGTAAATGACAATAATTTTTAAGTTTTTTTAAAACATCTTCATGATATTGTATAATAAGTAATTAGACGTAATATTCTATATTTACGAATTAAACAATACAATAAATATACATGTTAAACAATACAATAAATATACATGTATAAACTTAATTGTACATAAACTTAATTATACATGTTAAGTATTATTAATTCCTATTTTTTATGTAAATTTAAATGAAAACTAACAAATTGTATTTTTATACAATCTACGTTATTAACATAAGATATGACGGAAAGCTAAGTATTAGACGGGATTAATTTGAAATTCGAATTTGATCGCCAAATCTTGATGGTAGCACAGTCACGAAGCGGTGAGTTGTTCTAGAAAATATAGCAGGGAATGGATACGTGCCAGAAACCCATATGTCCGATAGTCGAATTAGAGCGGAAATAGGCAAAAATCCAAATTTCCGAATATACCATACACGGCGCATGACTGTACATATCGCACGATAAATTCTAAACTCGTAGCCAGAGCTCGATTTCCGTAATGGAAGAACAATGAAGAGTGCTTCAGGAAACAATACGATAATACGGGCGACTGTTACGTGAGCGGAGCAGGAATAGAGCAATAGTAAATGTCATCGGAGTCGCGATAAAGTTGCCATTAATTCGTTATACGTATCGCAGAATAAAATGCACCGCAATACGGACATACATAAACTAAGCTCGGATGACCATAATATTTCTTCATTTAATCACAGGAAGAGAAACTTCATGGGCAAGACATTAAACATTAAAGGGACAAATTGTCTATATAACGTTTTAAGTTGAAGAACACACAGATATCAGCTTAAAATTTTCTTTTTTATCGCATGTTACATATGTGTGTTACCAATTAATGTTTTATTTTAAATTATCTGTTCTGCGTTACGTAAATAGAACCATACATAAATAGAAAAGTAAAATTAAAAAAGAATGATAAAGCAAAAATATCGCAAATTTAAAAAGTGAAAAACATACAGTACATATTTATATCACATATAAACGTAAACATATATTTAACTTAAAATGATATATTTAAATATTAAAAAGAGAATAAAAAAGAGGCACGTTTCATAAAATTTATGT